TGTGTTCGGCATGAGCTGCATGTAGCTTCTGAATGATGTGAGTTTCGGTACTAAACTGCTTTTCCCAGCCCTTGGAGCAGCCTCTGTGAGCATTCGGTAGATAACTCCTTCGTAGTGATTTTCTCGAGGAACAAATGTCTTGTTATTTTTGTTGAATGATGAATTGCTCCAACCACGTGTCTTTTAGGCTCAAATTGCCACGCGGCCAATCAAGACATGCCCATTCGCTCCTACGATATATAGAGTGATAACATAAGAAAGTAATTTCATGCCCATGTGCTTTTAGGATACATCATACATACACTGATAAATAAGAAAATAAATTTCATTTCAAAATGGCTGAATATTTTTGTTTTTATGGGAAAAAAAAAAAAAGAATCTATGATCTTATTTTGGTATAGTTTGATCAATATTTTCACAAAACAAATTTTAGGTTTTTTTTATCTTATTTTTGAAATATTTATAAAATATTTTTGAAATGATTTTATTTTTTAATTAACTGAAATTATGCACTGAAATAAAATTTTGTTTCGCTGAAAAATCCAGCCAAGACTCTTTACATTTGTAACTGTATTATGCGTGTTTACATGGATCCATGACACTCGTGCAAAGCATCAACTTTGATGCCATTGCTATATTTATTTATATATTCTTACTTTTTTCCCCTCAATTATTCAAAATTCGATTCGATACCCCTGATTTGTGGTCTCCATTCAGCAGACAACATATTTGCATGGGTGGTAGCTTACCCAGGTTTGAAGATTCTGTTTTTGCTTTGATCATTGGCGTTGACTAACCTGATTAATGACTTTGGAAAGTTCGCTCCTGTGTCTCTTATGGGTTTCTATGCCTTCATCAAACTTATCTTTCACTAATTACAAGCAGATATAGAGATTGGTGCAGAGAGAGAGAGAGAGAGAGAGATGATACACTCTGATTCACAAAGATTCCATTAGGCTTTGTGTTTTCTTCATGGGAAGAATTCAAGAAAATAAAACTTCTCACTTTGTGGACTGTGTATGCAGTTGTGGAAGAAGTAACCCAGGGAGCAAATTACCACCAGTGTAATGCTATTTAAAAAATTTGACATAATTTATTAATCTAATTATGTGATTTTACTATAACCACAAGATTAATATTAAATTTTAATATTTAATGAGACTCATAATTAATCTAATTTTTTATGAAATTTTGTTGGAATTCAAATTTTTAGAACGAATTGGACGGATGCAGATGTAAATTAAGATTTTAAAATTCATTGGATAAATGGACTGTTTTCAAAATTTAAATTTTTTATTGAATTTGGATCTGAATAGATCAAGATCTCATCCAAATCTAATCCGTTGACAGCTCTATTTTCAACACAAAGAACTGAAACATAATCCCATAGTCAACAAACATTTTGTTAGGCACTTTTCTCTAAAATCATGTTTTTTTATCTTCTAATTATTGATTTTTAAAAGCTTTATGATTATTTCAAGTTCTTATTTGACCTTCCAATGGGGTTTTACAGTAAAAGAAGGCATTTTCACAGATACCTAAGCAAAATATAATACTCATTTCTTTCACTAATTCTAATGGCGTTGAAGTTTGTAGTAATTTTTTTTTTTTGCTTACAGAACTCGATGTTATGAAATGGGTCTGCAGGGATGTCTGTCAGTTTCCTTTGAAAAATCATTATGTTGACTTAACTCGACCAAGATCGTTTGTTTATTTTTAGACACGTTTATTAATGAAAAAAAAACATTTTTCGACTTTTCCTCAATTTTTTGGATGTTTTTGGTGACAAAAGTGCGTGGTTTTCTACATCAAATAGATGACGAGTTGAATAAGTTGAAGTAAGAGTAGTTCAAGTGATAACAGAAACGAGCTATAAATCGAGATATCTTGAGTTTGAATCTTACTAATTCTTAAGGGTCAGGTCGTGAAGGACTTATCTCTCATGAATATTCTAGTTCCAGCGTGTATAACTTGCCTTTGATCGGACTGGAGATGAGATTAGTTGAAGCGCGTATAAACTAGTTTAGACATCCCTAACTATTGAACCAAAAAAAAAAAATAGAATAAGTTGAGAGGCCACTTTAGAATCAACCCGTACTTATAAAATCCTTAATATGAGTGCAACACACACCCAATTTCAACTATAGTATTTGTCATACTCAAAATTTTGAACTCGACTTATATAATTCAAACTGAAATTTGAGTTAATTCTCGATTTCAAACTCAAATTGAACAAGAACTTGCTATTTCAAATTGGGTCACACAAATCAAAGCTTCAATTTGAGTATTATTTGAATTTAACCAGTTGAGTTTATCTATCATAATCCAACACAAAAATTGAAAAAACAAATTATCAGTCAAGCTTAGATTGAGTTCTAGTTAACCTGTCCAAGATTTATATGACATTGTGAGTAAAACATCGTAGGGTCAACTCAGAAGTGTTAATACGTTAATTGCTTAGGACCAAAAAGATTTGAACCTTTTATTAGGTTGGGTACACTTACCATACTATTTTTTCACACTCCATAAAAGGTTAGCCACCCTCATTCTTTAGGGGGACATGTCTTTAAACTAGCTCAAATTACAATTATCGGTTTAGCGCTCGACAGAGTAGTTGTGTTAGAGCATCTAGTCCCGTAGGACATAATTATTATCAACCCGACAAAAGAATTGGGTCAAGGGTCGGCGATTTAGAAGTATAAAATAAATGCTTCATGCAAATTTCATCAAATAACAACACAGAGAACAAAAATCAAACATGTCCCATGAAAAAGTTAGTGAGTTTTTCCTCTGCAGATTTTGAGCTGCGACTCCATTGAAATGGACCCATTTTAGCTGTTGGCAAAATTCTCCAAGAGTTTGAATCTTGACAAATTTTTAAGATTAGACAACGAAAAATTTATCTCGCATGAATATTTTAGTCCAAGTCTGAAAAAGAAAAATTCTCCAAGAATCAAAAATTAGACACGGGAAAACCCACAAATGTTAGTCATTCATTTCATTTCAAACATATCCTTTTTTGCTTTGCCCTTTAACCTTCACCTTTCAGCCCTTTTGAGGTTGCTTTTATTCTCTTTTAAGTATCCCTTTTGGGGTGTTAAAAAGTTGAATAGCACTGTAATCCTCTTTCTCAGTGTGTTTTTTTATGGGTAGGAGCGAGTTGTTCAACCATACGTTTTATAAATTCGTGACTATAATATATATTTTGAATGAACACAATTACTTGTAATTCATGAATTTTATGCAGGTAGAAGACTCAAAGTACAGATTTAATGTCATTTTTTCTTTTGCCACTAAACTAATCGGTGTGGGTTCTCCTTTTGAGTGTTGCTAGTACCATTTTATAGTAAGGTATAGAGGAGAAGTTGTATCAAGTTTACGTGCTCAAGATAACAATTTGCGGCACTCCCTCACTTACCCGATGAGGATGATTCATTGGATTCATTGCAACACAAAAATGTTGAGTTCAATTCATCCGATTACTAAAGGCAAGCGAGGATAGAGAGAGGGAAGAGAAAGAATAAATGTCTGTCCTTGTAGCTAATCGAAGGATAGAAGCCATCGAAAAGATATTGAACTGAACATCGTAAGACCAAAGATTAGTTTCTTATCATTTAATGAGCATCATTTACGCTACCAAGTGTCACGTTATTAAATAATTGTTTCAAGGGTAGAATTCAAGAAAGTCTATCTGGAAAATGTATATGGAATTGTTTTGACCTATTTATTATTCAGATTAAGTGATTGTTTTATTTTTGGGTTCATGTCGTAATGTATATAATTGATGGAGGGAAACTGCATGATTTGTGATTGTTTAGAAACACTAATCTCATGACCTTTTGCTATGTATAATATAGCAAAGTTACTGCTCTGTCTCTTGTCCTTTTGTTCCTTTCTTGATTGGCCAGGAGCATGAGAAAAATCTGTACTACCAGAGCATTAAAACCCTAATTCTCCAATCTGACTTCCTCCAAGCAAAAGTCACCAACTAATTTGCTTCTTTTAATGCAAAAAAGGCTTACACTTGCAAAAGCTACCCAAAAGGTGGTATTGCTTTCCAAGACAAGTGATCAGTCAGTCAAAATAAAGAAATAGCTTACCCCCCCCCCCCCCCCCCCCCTCGCACCATGCACTGCTAGTCATGTCATGTTTAATTGGTGTGTACCAGATTTTATCTAAGTCATTCTTAATCGTTTTATAATTATGTACAGGCAGATTAATGTTAGATTTTGTATCAGTTGTTCATTTAGTCGGGTTGGATCGTGTTTATCCATGTTGTCTAATGGACTTGACAAATCTATTTGTTTATCATCCGAATTCAAATTATATTCAAATTTATTTATTTAGTATTCAAGTCGAGTTTTAAATTATTTTTAGATCTGTCAGGTATCCGGTAACATAGATCTTCTATATAAATTCAGACGTTTTAAGTTTGAAACTTGACAATGCCTTGAAGTCCGACACGAGAGATTTATCCCTCTTGAATACGTTAATCTTGGCATAGATAACCTGTATTTGATCAGACTAAAAAATTTATTAATTGAAATGCACGTCAACTGATCCACAGTTGAAAAAAAAAAAAAAAGGCCTACTCCATGTGTATAAATAATCATTCTGTGCTGTATTTGCTGGCCGAATGCTACAACACACGGACAATAGGAATGTCTGTTAAGTCCATATTGTCATTGAAACAGTAGATTTTGGTTCAGCATTGCAAGAGCCCATGTGGGTGAGCGGTCTCTCTCTTTCTCTCTCTCTCAGTATGTAATCTGTTTCTCGTGAGCAGAACAAGCTGGTTCTTGTTCTTACACATTTAATGATTCTTGGATGTTTCTCATATCCTGATCTTGTTTATGTTTGGTAAGATGTTCATTTCTGGTGGATAATCTTGCTGCATTTAATGCTGTTTTCAGTGTTTTTCAGAAGTGGGGCTAAAAATTACCAATGATATTGATGAAGGAAAATCCATTTTTTTTATTGTTTGAATCCATTGCAGATAAATGGAAGTAACAAATTCAAGGCACAGACGTTCTAAGAGGTGACTTTTATTTTTGTATTGCGTAATTATCCCTTTGTTTTCTGTTTGTTTTGTCATGTTTTCTGTTCATTGCAAACCTTAAAATTACCTGAACTTAGAAAACAAACTATGTTTTCTGCAATGGCTTCTAGTAATGGGGAAGTTTTGAGATTCAGCAGTTGATTTTAGTATGTTCATGGGCTGTTACTCCTCGTCAACTCCACAAACAATACATATAATTTATCGGTTTTGTACTAGCAAATGCCCAGTTTTTTTAAGCTGCGTACATTTAACTCTCCGTGGCCCTGCAGTGGTAGGAGCCTGATGCATTTAGGCCATTGCTAGTGGAAATTTCTGAAATGGGTATGGTGTAAGAAAGTTTAGGTTGATTGTGAAAGAACATTAAGTAGATTAAAGCAAGAGGATCAGTTTTATGTTGGTGGAGTACTTGTACCTGTACCCCAAATGTGGCAACTTAAACTTTCATGAAGTCTAGTGCAATGTCCTGCTGATATTAGTTTGGTTTTTTTTTTCTTGACAGTGAATTCTTCAGGAGAAGAAATGATGATGATAATAATCTGAACAAAATCTTAGCTTCTCAGGTTCTGGACTTGGTAATATTTTACTTTCCAAAAAAAAAAAAGAACTTGGTATTTTATTTATGGGGATTTTCTTTGTTTTTGTTTCATTTTGCCCCTTCCTTGTTTCTAATTAAAGTCTTAGTGTGTTTTTTATCTTTAAATTTTTGTGAAAATCTTGTTTGCTGGTAGGATATGGGACATCTGAAGTATTGTGTTGAAGCCAAGAAGAGGCAATTGCCCAGCACTGATGTTCAAAAATCTTTGAAGGAAGAGGTAAACTCGCACTTTGTTAATCAGAGTATATTCACTGCTTGTTGAGGAATCTGCTGGTTAGGGGTTGTCAGGGTCGGAATACAAAATCTTGTTTTCGTTCGTTAATCTTTTACTATTTATATAATTGTTCCATTTTTTAACTTTAATCCGAACAAGGATTTCCATGAAACGCACGAAGGGTTTATAAGCAATTTCCAAGTTATTATTCAGGATTTGTGCAGAGAGTCGAATTACGTATAATGGTTTGACCCCTAAAACAACTGGAATATGTTATTATGAGAGACCAACAGATTAATGTGCTAACAACTTTCGAAACACAACGTGCAACATTTAAACAGGAAAAAGAAAGAAAAAGAGAGTGACTATGAATGGTATGTTTGAATCAACCACATGATTTCAAATAGTAGAGTCATCTAAATCTTTGTTGCATGTTTTGGTAATTATTTGTCATATTTTGCCCAATTCTTGCAGGTTCTACAACTTCAAGGACAACTCGAGGACCAATTTCTAGTACGCGGTGCACTAGAAGAGGCACTGAGTAAAAGCCCTCTCTTGCATGATCCTACAAATGAAAACACAATTAGCAAGGTTCTTCCTTTTGATGTATTGAGAACATGTCTAAGAGCTATCTTGCTGCAAATGCTTATGAATGCCACAAACGTATGCAAATGCGTTATTGTTGATTGATAAATTAATGTTTTATATGACTATTTCTACTAGAACTATCATGTTACATAAAGAAAGGTGTCCAATGCAAGCTAATGTATTTGATATCATCACATCTTTGCATAAGAATATGAAAAAAAATAGCACGGTCCCTGCTCAAAAACATTACAATGTCCTAGACAAGTATATGTTCTTTATATTATGTATAGAACGAAGAAAAACTAGGTATTAAAATTCCGTAGGGCTTGATAATCTTAGACTTGAGATTTTATCCAATGGAGCTGACACTCGGTTGTATCGTCGAGGGAGATTGAAAATAACTGCTGTCAAGAAGCTAATAATTGAACAACAGTTATAGCTCTTGTAGTCTTCTGATTTCTTACTTGGACTTTTTGACTGGTTTATGCTGTTCAATCGACTAATGCTGCTCCAGTGAAGTTTATTTACTTTTTGCTTCCCCTAAAAATTCAGCCTGCCAAGGATCTAATCAAGGAAATTGCTGCTTTGGAGTTGGAAGTTGTGCATCTGGAAAAATATCTTCTTTCATTATATCGGAAAAACTTCGCTAAGAGAGTATTGTCCAGGTCAACAATGGCTGAAAGATCAAAACCAACTTCAACCACACATGAATCGATGTTTTCAGAAGTTTCTGGACATGATATCACACCAAAGAAAGAAAATTCAGTGATTGACTCTAGCTGTTCTCTGCCACCTCAAGATTTATGTGAGAATCCAGCCAAGGAATGCAGTGACGTTTTACGAGTACAGACACTAGTTGATTCTAGTATTCTCCGCAGCCATTCATCACTATCTCAACGCTCAGCTTCTTTTTTCAGAACTTGTCCTACATTGGGAACTGTTGCAGAAGCTGTACACCCGTACCATTCCTTGCCTTTATCAATGCTGGAGGTAATATAACCTGTAAAAATCCTTGAAATGGCCATAATTTTGAAAAAAGTCCCTCTACTATAGGAGAACCTGTCAAACTCTTTCACTTCCCAACTAGTTTTCCCTTGTTAAAGCATTGCTTAGGCTACAATGTTGTCCATTCAAAATCCAAAAAATTTGGGAAATCACCATACAATCTCAGACGACAAGGTGGTCAAGAGGTTTTATTGGTCTGTTGTTGACATAACCCTGCCTCCTTGTGAGGTGATCTATCCCTAACACAGTTTCTGACATTGTGACTGTCATAGATATGATATAAGCAGCACCTTGAATCCTTGTTCTTTGTTTATATTTTGTGGTTGTTATTTATTACTTCAAAACAAAATGGGAATCATTTTTTCATAAAAAGAAGATGAGCATTAATTTTTCATTAATTTCTTAAGTCCACTTGCCACATCAGTTGAGATGGTGGCCTGGATAAATCATTGGAAAGAAAGCACTTCATCGTCAGCAATTGAGGCCTAATAAACTGTGCTTTCAATTTATCTCAGTGTGCTCGGGGATCTGCTTCAAACATTAGTCTGGGAGAGCATCTTGGTAACAGTACTCCTGATTATGTTCGGAAAACACCAAACTGCCTTTCTGAGGAAATGGTTAAGTGTATCACAGCCATTTATTGTCAACTAGCTGAACCCCCTTTGTTCAATCATGGTTTCACTTCCTCTCCTATTTCATTCTCATCGGCGATGAGTGAATCATCGCCAGGAGGTCAGCATGATATGAGGTGGCCACCATGTAGAGAAAATTCATCTTTCAATTCATGGTTCAACAATCCTTTCCACCCTGACTCTTCAATTAGTGGATCTTACTTCACGATGGCAGAGGTGCAATCAATTTGTAGAGACAGTCATCGGATAAGAGGGGTTGAACATCAACTGCAAAATTTTAGGTGAGCTCCCATCGTTCAACTTCATTTTGCAAAAGAAGTTTTGTTATTTGCTTTTTCCAGTGGCTACAAAATGGAGTTAAAGCTAACTAAAGTTTGGAACCTGAATCTCCTTTTTTTTTTACCTCTCTAATCAAATTTTCTGGTCTAAAAATTTAATTTTTCAGCATTAAAATCAGTGCTTTGGACTTTACCATGCATGGTTGTACTTTTGGAAAGACGTTTAGAAGCCTCATTTTTTGCCTGTGAGATACTTTTATCACATGCATTCTACACAAGTACATCTAAGGCCTTTTGATGCTTCATCATACATTTTTTTTATGATTTGAATCCCTGTACTTTGGGCGTTGAAAAGCAATAGGATTCTTTAAAACATTGCAACCCCTATTTCTTAATTCATATTTCTGAGCTTGAAAAATAGAAACTGTTCCATTGCAGGTCTCTTGTCTCCCAGTTAGAAGAAATTGACCCTAGAAAACTGAGACATGAAGAGAAGCTAGCTTTCTGGATCAATGTACACAATGCGCTAGTGATGCACGTAATAATTCGATACCTAAAATCTCCATAAATCTTTTGTTTTTTTTTTTTTTCACTGGCTGCATTATTTGTTTGGGCTGCAAGGTGTTGAACAAATACAAACCTACTTCTTGTGCATTGCTACAGGCATTTTTGGTTTATGGAGTTCCAAATCGTAATCTGAAGAGGATATCTTTACTTCTCAAGGTAAATACTGATGACAGACTATTTTTTATCTTCCACCAAGAATAAATAAATGTAATTCTGTTTTAATAACTTCAAGAACTGGTCCATGATCCAGGCTGCATATGACATTGGGGGTCACACCATAAGTGTGGAGATGATACAGAGTTCTATTTTGGGATGTCGGTTACATCGTCCAGGACAGGTATATGCAACAAGTCTCCGAATTCTAAAGTTCATTATGCTGCAAACTATAGTTAATCACTAGTTGCTTGTTTTAAGTGGCGATAGTGAAGCTTACTTCTTCTTGTAGTGGTTCCAATCGTTATTTTTCCCCAAAGCCAGATTCAAGGCTGGAGATTTGCGGAAAGCATATGCAATAGAGCATCCAGAACCTCTCCTACGGTTTGCACTTTGTTCAGGAAGTCATTCTGATCCTGCGGTACATCCATGGCTTTACTTTCTTTGCAAAAACTGCTGAAAATAAATAAATATGTAAACACATAAACCACTTATATGGCTCGTGCAACACAAAGATGATCTGGATAGCAAGCTTATAAACAGGCAGTTAGAGCTGAATCCTTAAATTAAGTTGTGTGTTTTGAGTCAAAATTCAAAGAAATGGTGTTTTTTTTTTGACATACATCGGTTGCTCACTATTTCCATGTACAGTAAACTATCATAACTTAAGTATTTCGTCTATAAAAAGGAGAAAGCACCCACAACAAGATAAAAATAAGCCTGAAAAATGGCACAGTAGATCCCCCAAAGAGGGGAACATAAGAAACGGTGAAAGTTAAAAACTCATATCAAAAGTATTGTGGTTTAAACTTGACCTTTTTCCGAATTTTGTTGAAACTTAAGACCAAGCTTGGAAGTTGGAATCCTAATCTGAATGTTAGATCTGCTGCCTCAAACAGAGTTAGCAAAGGTGCGCTGCCAAATAATATTCTCCCTACTTTTTGTAATGGTTTGCTTTGTAATGAATGTTCAGGTCCGTTTGTACACGCCCAAGAGAGTATTCCAGGAGCTAGAAATGGCAAAAGAAGAGTATATCCAGACCACCATCAGGGTCCATAAGGAACCAAAAATCCTACTACCGAAGATTGTGGAATCTTATGCGAAGGAGCTGCATTTATGCCCTGCAGGTTTTGCTGAGATGATTCAGGATTCTATTCCCGATGTTTTGAGCAAAAGTCTCAAGCAGTGTCAGCAAGGAAATTTGTGGAAGAAAATCGAATGGATCCCTCACAACTCCACATTTCGCTATTTGATATCAAAAGAATTGGCTGAATGATCACATATGATTCTAACCTGCCAAGATCATCCGGGAGGTGAATGTTTTTTCCAAGGGCTACCAATACAATTTTGCGTTCCTCAATCTACCATTCAATGCAGGCAGCGTGACAGATTAGAATGACAGATTAATCATAACCACCACGATTAATGGATTCAATGGAGGTAGTCCCAATGTGATTCTCGAATATGAGCGTTTGCAATTACAAGAGTGATGATCAAAATGGCTCAACACATCATCGAGCTTTGAGCTCCAACGAGTTTGAGCTGTTTTGATCACTAGCTTTCTTGGAGTGGCCTAGTTTTGGTTGTCAATGTTCCAAAGTCTGCTGCAGAGTGGATGAGTGAAAATGCATTCTGTAGATTATGAACTTTGTTCTGCCACATTCTGTAATGGGATATGTCTTGTTCTATTGAAGGAAGCTTTTATAACATTGCACAATTTTAAGGGTCTTCCTTCTGTCTGCATCATTTTGCATTGTTTGACAATTTTTTATGCTTGAACGCGGCAAATGAAACATACTAAGCGCGACCAAAGAAAAAAAACAAGAAGTACTAAGCTTGGTCGAATGTGCTCTCTATAATCTTCTTATTTCGGTTCTTGAGGGTTGTTCAAGTGACAAATTCCACAATTTTAATTCGCTCTCAAGTAATTTTCTGTTAATTATTTTTTTGAAAATACCAAAAATCATGTTGAGTGTATATTTTATAAACTATTCCATTCATGCCATGCCTCCTTTCATTTGAATGCAAGTTTTAAAGAGAAAAGAAACCGTAAAAAACGAATGAAAATTGATTAGTCATTCTAATTTACTTGGATCCACACAAACTTGACTATTACATACTTATATATAATTAATTCCAATATGACACACGAATTATAAAAAAAATTAGTCAGTGTAGATCCGATTAATTAATACACGATACAAAATTGATATGATTGTATAATAAATTATAAGTATTTTTATTTTGTTTGTTAAGGGAAGGTGTTTTTTATTTTTTTTAATGATGAAAAATGTTCAAACTAATTTATTTGCATATCGACAAATCCCCAAAAAATGTTTTTTGCAATGTTAAGAGCTTCAGAAAAAGTGCGTCTATCTGTTCAGAAAGAACCTGAATCACTTATAACAACACAGCACAGCCAAAGCCCTTTTTTGGCGGTTCTTGGCACCTCTGTCGATCCCTTCAAAACTCTCTCTCAGCACATCACGGGAGTGAAAGGAATGGATGAAGATCGTATTGGGTTGATCTTGGCTCGAGCCTCAGAGCTACGATCCAAGATTACCAACTGCATTCACAAAGCACCTGCTCTAGAATCAGACCACTTTACAACGAAAGAAGAGCGAGAAGGTGAAGAAGAAGAAGAAGAGGCAGAGAGCCTATTGAACATTCGCGATGCCCTCGAATCGCTTGAAGCTCAGCTATCTTCTTTGCAGGTTTGTTCATTCTTTTTAACTTTCTTTTCTTTGTTTGTTTGAAATTCTTATTTTTTGTCAATTTCTTGAAACTGGGGTTTTACTGAAAAACCCTAATTGAATCTGCTTGCTAGTTTTGTTCCAATATTAAGTGCTTCATGAATCAAACTACTGTGGATTTGGAATATATAATATGGTTCAGACAGTTTACATTTTCTGCTTCATATTTTAATGGCAATTGTATCTGATAATGTATTGAAGCAAAAGGATTTCTTGCTGTTTCCCATTTTTCATATGATTTGGAGTTTGGAGATTTGGTCTGTGTAGGTGCACCTATGATTATTGAATTTACTATTTTCTTTTCCTCTTTGCTCATGCATACCTAGTGAATATAAGCTTGTGTTTGTGGAGATTCTTTTAATTTGTTTATGTGGTTTACAATCCCCAATGTGGAGCAATGCTGGGGATCCCAAACTGTATCCCAAATCAATATGGACCCTTGGATATGTGAGCCCTATTAACTTTTTTTGCAACGGGACCACTCATCCAAATTTGGGATCCCTACATTGCTCCCCTTGTTTTGTTTGATAGGGCTCAGAGTATGTCAGGACTTGGTGCTGTCTTAAGCCAAAAACTCAGAACTACATGTAGATTTTGAAGCCTCTTATGTCAGAAACAGTGCGATACATCTCAAGATATGATGATTTTGAAGTGAGTTCTGCTTCCTCATGCTTGAACCATGAGAAATTACCCTCAATCTAATTTAGTGAGTGACTTCTATTTACTTAATGGGAAGGATTAAGAAATCAATTCCCATGACATATACTTCTCCAATATGAGCTGCCGCACCAGTAGACAACTTGACATTCCATCTTCTGGGTGAAATTTATTCTACGGTGACTTTGAGGATCTCTGAAGAAGCTCCTGAGAAAATTACTTCCATAGTGAATGGAGTGATTTTGAAATAGCTATTTGGGGCACATATTACTATTATAAATTCGTTGATCACACCGTCCCTCTCTACCAGAGGAATGAGTTTTCTTGTTATACAAGAAGTGCAATTTTCTTTGTTCTTACTGACATGACTCCTACTAAAAAGAGTAAACATGACAGTGGTTCTCTTTCACAAAAAAGTTATGCTAATAAATTTTTGATAACATTTTTGGCTGCAACCTTCAGGGTTGGCATCTTGAGTTTATCAATTGAAAGAGATGTTATGCCATGTTTTTTTCCTTCCCCCTCAAAAAAAAGAAAAAGAGGAGGCTCTAGGAATTGGTAGTGAGCAAATTGATATTTATTTGCCGTTTTCCTAGCAAACTGCATTCTAGAATTCCGTTGTTGTGTTAGGTCACCCTTGAATATGGTTCCATATGCTATGTACCATACAAAGGTCTGTAGGTCACAGATGAAGAAGTCCTCAAAAGGAAGTGTTAATGATGGATGAATTGATGTGACTCGTTAACATTGCAAGATAAAGCATTTTAATGAGAGCACAGCTAGTTTTGGCTTGACATGCTATTTGGTGATTTGTTTGTCCTGTTATGCCCAAGGTTATTATTGAGGTGAAGCTGGATCTGATAGAAGAAAGAACATTGTATTTTTTATCAAGCCCCATTCTCTTAGTTTTGTACAATGCTGCAGGCATCTTACAGTTCTTTTTTGATGATCAGGCATTACAACAGCAGCAATGGTATGACAAGGAAACAGCCTTGGCTGAGATTGATTACAGCCGCAAGAAGTTGCTCGAGAAGCTGAAGGAGTACAAAGGCGAGGACTTGGAAGTTATACATGAGGCTACTGCTTTTGCTGGTGAAACAGTTGAAGACAACAATGATCTCCTCCTTCCCCCATATCCAAGCCGGCCTTCTCGCTCCCTGGTGTCGAACAATGGCTATGTTGCACACTTTCCTCCAGCACGCAAGTTGGCTCAAAATAGGGTAATAAGTGGTGATCCCAAAAATGAATTAAAAAAAGGTATCCACGATTCTGGGAGAAATGAAGTGCAACCTGAAACCAGAGGCTCACTTAAAGGGGTGAGAGTATTCATCAGCATGGTAGCCAAGTCAATGCTTACATTTGTTGGTGTCGTATCTGTTCTAAGTTTGGCTGGGTTTGAGCCCAGGTTTAGGAGAAGGGATTCTCAATTTAAGATTTTGGGTCTATTTCAGCAGCAAGGGACTGAAGAGAAGGAAGTCATGGTTCAGTGTCCACCTGGGAAGGTCCCAGTCATTGAAAATGGTGAAACTCGCTGCCTTGTGAAAGAGAGAGTTGAAATTCCTTTTGAGTCGGTCGTTGCAATGCCAGATGTAAACTATGGGTGTGGATGAAATGGTATTTATTTTCCTTCTTTTGTATATGTGGTGTGATTGGAATAAATCTACGGGTCTGATGATGTATGGAATTTGTTATGTAGCTGCAGAAAGTTTTGTCCATGTCACCTTCATCGTTGTGGGATAACAATTGCGCCTGTTAAGTAGTAGTAGTAGTGTTGCGTGGGTGTGTTACAGATTATCTACATGTTTGTTTTCTTGACTCGATTTCTAACCGATCTGTTCTATTTTTTGATTTGCCAGTGGATCCATGAACAGGTTATGTTGATTGGAAAATGCTCCATAATCCAAATAGAACTCAAAAGTTAATATCTAAATATATATCATCACTTAGATGAATGGGTTTCATTGAAAAAGTTGATGGGACTCACTCATTTAGGAATGATATGTATTTGAGTTGTAATTTTTTGGATTTTATGTGGGTTTTATCGCATTGCTCATGTTGATTTAGCGCATTTGAGAGAAATGCTTGAAATAATTGAGAGCCATTAATCAAATTTTAGTGCTTTGCATCATGTAACATTGCATTTCTGTTTGTTGGTGTTTTAATCTGTTATACTATTCTACTTGAATGCCCTCAGAATATCGCTGAGAGATGCATACAAGAGCATAGCAGGTCTACGGGCTTGTTCTCCCAAGACCCAAAGAAAAGGCTTGTTGAGCTATTCAGGATGGTTTCACTCGCAGACGCAAACTCAGGTGGTAGTGATTGGTGAGTCCTGGAATCAATCTGATAGGCGCTCAGATTTAACTGTTCCGGTGGTCACATTTGCTCACATCAAGGTTGTGTCTAATTCCGGGTTTTTGCTTTCTGTCTCTAAAAAGCGTTTTAGCAGACATTGTAGAAAACAGTATCCTCTCCAAGATTGGAAAATGTAATTTGGGTTCTTCACCCTTTATTGGTCCCTGTTTGAATAATTGATGCAAAGTGCTCAGCAGGCGTTTGCATGATCAACGGGGACAAGAAATCCAAAAACCTTCAGTGCTTAGCTCTACCTGGCCCTGGAAGGTTAATTTACTTCCCATTCATGCTCCATAACCCTTTTTATTGTCAAACACCCAAACATTGCATATTTCCGGGTTAGGCTCAGGTTGATCAGTTATAGTTGCTGATTATACATGTATGCACATATAGTTTTTCGGGTAATTACTGTTGGAGTATAGATAGTCTAGTTTATTAGGATTTCTTTTCCCTTTTTTACCCTTATTATGATTTTTATATTTTGCCTAAACTACAAGGATGTTTTAGTCACTCTGTATTATTTTTGGATATATATACGGGGCTCTACTCTTAATTTGAGTATCTCTTTTCACTTACGTTTATTCCAAGTTGGTATCAAAGCCATACACTAACCCTACCTCAAACCCTAACCTTCTCCCTAACCTTAGCCTCCACTGAGACTGCCTCACCGGCAAACTGCCGAAACCCATACCAAGCCTTCCACCGACTGCCACCAACTGCCTTCCACCGAAACAAGCCTTCCACCGACTGCCTTCCACCGACTGCCTTCCCACCTATCCTCATAACAGTCTTTCAGCCTCTAGTCGAAACACCGAAACAAATAGCCGCAACACCGAAACAAACAGGCTCTTCTCTGTCTGCAACCAACAGATTTCAAGTCTGTCTCCTTAACCACTCGGACATATCGACTGTCTCCAATAACTACACACGACGCCCAGCCTACTGTCGGGTCATAACTCTTCTCTGTCCGTTTTTTATGAGGGGTTAAGTCCTCTTCTCTGTCCGTTAATCTGTTCTTGATGCAGTAAAATCATTTATTTATATTTATTGGATTTCTGGGCACCGTGACTTGATTATTTGGGAGCTTTTTGGACCTTCTTTATTTGTCGCTACTGTTCGACCGAAGGTATATTGTTCTCCCTTATTTTATTCCTCTATTTATCTTAGAGTTATTTTTCTGTCACGGGTGTCCTAGTATTGTTGTTGATATGGCTACTACTGAGGGACTTGAGAACCCTACTGTTGACACCTCTACCGTTGAGACATCTATGGGTACTTCCACTTTTATGTTTGACCAGTATACAGTGCCTACTAGCACAGTTGCATTACTAGCATTATCGGGCATAATCTCTCAAAAAGTTACGGCACAATTGTTGAATGGTCGTAACTTCGCTGAGTGGTCACGCTCATTCCAGCTTTTCTTAGGCCGTGTAGGGAAGCTTGGTTGGCTGACGGGATCTCACCCAAAGCCAGCTGATGCCGACCCTGGATATTCTGCGTGGTTCTCTGAAAACTGTGCCATTCTTGGATGGTTATTTGGCTCAATGGAGCCCTCTGTTTGCAGGATCCACCAGTTTCATAGCTCTGTTCCGAAGCTATGGAGCGCATTATCAGAGATGTATTCTCAGTCAGGACGGGGAGTTCGTGTTTATGAGCTTTCTTAGGAGCTCTCATATGCTCGACAGGGAGATATGACCGTTCAGGATTATTATGGCTATTTGACCCAGCGCTGGCTTGAGTATGAGACTCTACGTCCTCTTGCTGCTATTCCGAAGATAGAGCTCGAGGGAGCAGCATTCTTGCATACTCGAGAGCAGGAGGATAGGATTTACAAGTTCCTTATGGGGCTTCGTGATGAGTTTGAGGGACCTCGTTTTCAGATTTTGTCGATGTTGACACTTCCTTCTCTTTATGAGGTGTATGAGATGATTGAGCAGCATGAGCGTCGAGTCTGTATTGCATCACTTCCAGTTGCAGCTTTGACTCCTTCGATTGACCAGATGGCCTTACATTACATTCGGTTTTTCATGCGCCAAAGTTGGCCATAAATCTATTATCTGTACATCAGTTAGCCAGAGATTTTCACTGTGCGGTTGTATTCTTATCTGATTCGTGTTATTTGCAGGACCTGAGTACCAGGAGGATTATTATCAAGGGACATGAGAAAGATGGACTGTATTATCTTGGCAATCCATCTCCAGTTTCACCAATTCCTTCACCTGCACCTGCTTTGCCTTTTTCTGTTCCTAGCTTGCATGCTAGTATTTTACCTAGTAGTTGTCGTTATGATTTTTCGTCACAAACTGTTCAATTGTGGCATGACCGTTTTGGACATACAAATTTTAAATATTTATGTATGTTGTTTCCTGTTTTGAGTAATGCTTGTGTTGGTAGTAAACTTGATTGCGTTATCTGTTCCCTATCAAAACATGTTAGGGCCAATTATATTCCTCGCATATACCAGTCACCCAAGCCATTTGACCTAATACACTCTGATATTTGGGGACCCTCTCCCGTTACTGCTCTGTCAGGTGCCAGATATTATGTGACATTTATAGATGATCATACCCATTGTACTTGGATCTACCTTTTGCATAAGAAGTCTGATGTGCTCCCTATAATCACTCAGTTTTTACAGATGATTAAGACACAATTCGATGTCATTGTTCGTGCTCTTCGTTCGGATAATGCCAAAAAATATGTGTCTGATGCTTTAGTGTCTCACCTTTCTTCTCAGGGTATTCTTCAGCAACTCACTTGTTCATATACTCCTGAGCAAAATGGTGTTGCTGAGAGGAAAAATAGGAGTTTGATAGGGATGGTACGTTGTCTGCTTAGAGGCATGAGGGTACCAAAATCTTATTGGCATTTTGCTATTTTGACTTCTACCTTTCTGTGCAATCGTACGCCGAGTCGTGTTCTTCAGCATAAGGCTCCCTTACAGGTCTTATTTTCTGAGCGGACACTTTTTCCGGTCCCCCCTCGTGTTTTTGGATGCACATGTTTTGTTCAGGATCGGTCTCCTACTCGTCATAAACTTGATGATAAAGCGATTCGTTGTATCTTTGTGGGCTATTGTCATCAATCTAAGGGGTATCGATGTTATGATCCTATTAGGCGTCGTATGTGTCACAGTCTAGAAGTTACCTTTCTTGAGCATATTCCTTATTTTCCTTTCAGTCCTTTGTCTGCCCCTGCAGTTGATGATACTCCCTTTGATTTTCCATTACCACAAGAGTCAGAGTCATTGATCACTATCCCTACAAGGTCATCCGTTTTTCCTCCAAAGGAGTCATTCATCCCTGTCAGTACAGAGTTACCAGTCTCTCTTCCTTTGCAGGTGTATGTTCGTTGTCCTCGCTCTCATCACCCTGCTGATATCCCCTCTACCTCAGGCGATGCAGGTAATACTTCTCAGTTTGTTGAGCATATTGATGCACCTGTTGTTAGTACTGATGAGATTACAGGTGCTGAGCCAGTTACTTTACCTGATAAGACATTATCAGTAGAGGATGGTGATTTAGGGCGTCGTTATCCAAGGCGTGATCGCCGTCCAGTTGATCGATATGGTTGGACCGCCAAGATTTTATATCCGATCTCTGCTTATGTTTCTTATGATAATCTGTCTCCCACATTTCGAGCTTATACTATGGCCTTATCAGATACGCTGGTTCCTCGCTCTATTTCGGAAGCTATGCGGGAGCCCTAGTGGGTTCTTGCCATGCAGACAGAGATGGACGCTTTTCAGCGTAATCATACATGGGATCTTGTCTCCTTACCTTCAGGGGTGAAGCCTGTTAGCTGTCGCTGGGTTTACACCCTGAAGTTTCTTGCGGATGGTACTATTGATCGTTACAAGGCTAGACTTGTGGCGAAGGGCTTTACTCAGGTACCAGGTCGTGATTTTGGTGCTACATTTGCCCCCGTGGCAAAATTGACTACTGTTCGGTTGATTATTTATCTGGCTGCGGAGTACTCTTGGCCTCTTCATCAATTAGATGTGAAGAATGCGTTTCTTCACGGTGATCTGGACGAGATTATTTATATGGATGCACCACCGGGCTTTCGTGGTGAGGGGGAGTATGCTGGAAAGGTATGTCGACTGCGTAAGTCTCTTTATGGACTGAAACAGTCGCCACGAGCCTGGTTCTCTCGCTTCAGTGATGTAGTCATACGATTGGGGTTCACCAGGTGTCATTCTGATCATACCTGCTTTATTCGACGGAATACTTCTGGACAGTGTGTCATCCTTCTGGTATATGTTGATGATATTATTATTACTGGTGATGATGTTTCTGGGACTGCACAGGTCAAGATAGACCTTGGAAGGCCTTCGATGTGAAGGATATTGGATTTCTGTGATACTTTCTTGGGATTGAGGTTGCCCGTAGAAGCAAATGTATTGTTCTTTCTCAGAGAAAGTATGTTTTGGATCTTCTTTCAGACATTGGGATGTTGGGGTGCAAACCGGCATCATCACCCATGATTCCAAACCTGAAGCTTACTGCTGAAGGTGAGGAGTTGAAAGATCCGACAGTTTATCAAAGATTGGTAGGTAGACTTATCTACTTAGTCAATACTAGGCCGGACATTTCATTCGCAGTCAGCCGAGTTAGTCAGTTCATGCATAGGCCATGTCAGCCTCATCTTGATGCAGTTTATCATATTCTTCGGTACCTCAAGTCTTGTCCTGGACTTGGGTTATTTTATGCATCAGGATCTCAGACCGGTTCTCTAGCCTGTTATTCAGATTCAGATTATGGGGGAGCATGTGATGATCGATCTACTACGGGTTTCTGTGCTTTTCAAGGGACTCATCTTATCTCTTGAAAGAGCAAAAAGCAGGCAGTTGTCTCCCGCTCGTCCGCAGAGGCAGAGTATCGGGCATTAGCACTTGGCACATGTGAGATTATCTGGCTACGATCGATTCTTGATGAGTTGGGTTTTTCAGTGATCTCTCCATCCACATTATATTGTGATAATCAATCTGTTATTCAGCTCGCTTCTGACTCTGTACTACATGAGAGAACGAAGCATATAGAGATCGATGTTCACTTTCTTCGGGAGAAGGTCAGCAGTGGTCTTGTTACTCCATCGTTTGTGGGGACCAGTGATCAAGTTGCGGATGTTTTTACCAAACCTGTCACTCTGTCTATTCTTAGGGACTCCGTTGTCAAGCTAGGCTTAGTTGACATTTTTGCGCCTAGCTTGAGGGGGAGTGTTGGAGTATAGATAGTCTAGTTTATTAGGATTTCTTTTCCCTTTTTTACCCTTACTATGATTTTTATATTTTGCCTAAACTACAAAGATGTTTAAGTCACTCTGTATTATTTTTGGATATATATACGAGACTCTACTCTTAATTTGAGTATCCCTTTTCACTTACGTTTATTCCAAGTATTACAATAGCCATCCATGCACCATGACCGCAGGTGTGATGCAAGTTTTAGAAAACCTGGTGAATATGTCTAGCCTGTAGAGGTCAAGCAAGACTCATTGCATAATCTCTCGCTACATCCTGAAGAGCTAAAAGCCTAAAACCATGTTCTGGTTGCCACAACCAGCCCCTGGTTTTTAGACGTCGTCCCTGAAGTCTGCTACAAGTTGCTGAGTTCTGAAATGGCTCTCCATTGCCATGAAGGGTTATTCTAATTCATTCTGGTACTTACTATATAATCTCTCTTGAAGATTGCACATTGTATCCTACCATCTTTATGATCAATTTACTTCCCAGATCGAAAATTCCATTCTCAAACCCGAAGTGATGAGTCTCTTAAATAACACTGGTCCTGCTACTAATGTTTCTACTCTCCATCCAAGTGGTTAGTACCATTCTTCATTTCTTTGTTTAGTTTTATGATTAAAAATAACCATCTAAAGCTGTTTCTGTGGTTGGTTTAAGTTAAAATGTGGCAAAGAGATTTACAGAAGAACAAGAAGCTCTGGTGGTTAAGTCATTTAATTCAATGAAGAAGAATGCTGGAGAGCTTGGTCTCAAGTTGTTCTTGAAGTAAATTATTTCATTCCTTCTTGTCCTCCTATTTTTCTAGTTGTCTCATTCATGTATTGATTATAAATGTTGAACAAGTGAGGGATGAATATGCAGGATTTTTGAGATTGCTCCACCGGCCCAGAAGCTATTTTCATTCTTGAGAGACTTGGATGTTCCGTTAGAGCAGAACAGAAAGCTCAAGCTCCATGCCATGTCTGTCTTTGTCATGGTCTGTAAACTTTCTTCCATCTTGTTAATAAATATCTGTTCAGGCACCAAACCGTGCCAACATGGTTTGGACTATATGAAAAGCTATTGGATTAGGTTTTAGAAAATATCTCCCATTACAAATACATTACCACGATCATAACCACATACATGAGAATTCCATAACGATTTTATGATTTACACTTACATCTTTGTGTGGTTAGAAAATAAGATTTCCTTTATCAAATGCTCTTAATGAAAGTATAGATGGGTTTTTCCCTTTTTGGGATCCTCTTAAAAACTTTTAGCTTTTCTGCACTTAACAGGGTTCACTTTTAGATATAGCCTAGGACATGCTTTCCATATACTAATTGGTTTTCTGTTCTGTAGACCTGTGAATCAGCAGTGCAACTTCCGAAAGCAGGCAAAGTTGTGGTGAGAGACTCCACATAGAAAAGATTAGGTTCCACCCACTTCAAATATGGCGTTACAGACGAACATTATGAGGTATGCTTAACACATCACATCCCCAAGATGCCATAATTCTGTACTTTTGTTTTCAAATAATTTGGGGCTGACAGTTTTCGTCGAAACATGCTAAGATGAAATGAATTGAACATGAACTAGTAGATTAGGTTTGATTAGTTTTTGTCGTGAACAACAAGGAAGTAAGTTTAATGTCAATGATGAATAACATAATTTGGGCATGACAAGCTCGTTTTGCTGGTAAGAATTCTATGTCCGGCCATTGGAATTGAAGGAAAGTCGAAGGGCCATTCGATTAATTAAGGGGCCCTATTTGTTTCCTAAGTTTGAGTATTGCAAAATGAAAGTTGATATATATGAAATTCCAAACAATCATATAGACAGAAAGTTGGATCTAAGCAAGACAATGCCTAAAAAATCTGATGTCATGCACACATGGTTTCATATGCATATTATATTAGATACAAAGAAGGTTGTAATTGCTTTGTAGCTACAATCAATTGTGAAATAAGTACACCAAATATCATTTTACTAAATGTGTCGGGGTTCAGGATTATCAGGCTCCACACTACCTTACAATAATTATCATAAATCTCAGTCTTTTGTACTTTTTTATTAAATGTATCGAAGGTTCAATACTATCAGACTTAACACTACCTAACAATAATTACTAGAAATCTCAATTTTTATACTTTTTTATTGAATGTGTCGGGAGTTCATTATTATCAGGCTCCACACCTACCATATAGTAATTTCCAGTAATCTGAACCATTAGTTTTTGTTCTGTGGCTTTTTTTTTCTCTTTTTGTGAAGGGGAAAAGGGTTATGTAATGAATAAGCCATTACATGTTTATTAACAGCACCAGCAAGAAACTGAAAATATGCCTATGAATATGATTGCGACCAAACTCTTTCTGTTAGTTACCAAACTTCATTCATCTCTCAAGTAATTGCTTTTGCATTGACAGATTTTATGGGTCCAATAGGCATTGCCCTGTGCTGGTAAACGAAATACCTGATGCAACACATGGAGCACAATTTGGTCTTCATTGGTTCAAGGCCGGCCTCGAAGGTAATGATAATCGAGCCGAGTCTATCGAACTTGTTTTTTTAAATGAATTTAAAAAATTGTTTAAGTTCGACTCGTTTAAAAAATAAGCTGAGTCCGAATAACTCAACTATTTTATATATAAACGAGTCAAGTTTTGCGAGTCGAACGAGCCTTTTTAAGTTTGTTTTCTAAATGAATCTAAAAAAATGTTCAAGCTTGGCTCAAGTCAAGTTCTGGTCGAGCCGAACTGAACCTGAGCCAAATTCACGTAACTCAGCTCAATTATTAGCTTTACTCGAAAGGTGCTAAACAACATCGGACAATATGCACAAGATATTAGCTAGAAGAAGTTGAAAAAGGAGAGTTTCACAATGTCGTGGAATGATATCAATAGGTCAGGGCCGCCCCTATCATTAGGTTAACGAAGTCTGGTCTTTAGGCCCTATGTTCAAAGAAGGTCGCAAAATTTCTAGGTGTATGATTAGTCAAATGAAAATTTTTTAGATCCGTCATATTAGGCCTCCAAAAAAACCCTTATAAAAATTTAAATTCAATCAAAACTAAATTTGAATAATTTAGGCTCATGAACCTAACCCATAATATTAAAAATATACCAAAATAATTTTTTTTAAAAGAAAAAGTTAAGGGTTAAAAAAAATTCAACTGATCAATTAAAATACACCATTCTTTTGTAAGCATTTTCTCTCTGTCATGTGTCCAAAACACAACTTAAAAAATCTCGAACATATATTTCATTTTTCTCTCCCTCTATAGTAAACTGACCCCTCTCTCTCACTCACTCTCTAATAAACACACATCCCTTCTTTTTTTGTGTTACTATATTTTTTATTTCTATTACAAAAAATATAGCAAAATATTTTAGGTTTTTTTTATTCAGCTTAAAATATTAAAATCAATAGACCATAATTGCTTAAAATTAAAAGAAAATTTTTAAAATTAAAATTGATAAAATCTTTCCTAAGTTTGATTATCATAAGAAAAATTAGGTGGATTGGTGATACTATCAATATAAAAAGATATGGTAATGAGATTTAAACATAAAAAATAATAGTACTTTTAATCTAAAAAAAAGAATAAATTTTAAATAAAAAATTATTAATATCAAAAATAAAAAGCATCATTTCCAATTGTCTCTTTAAGTCTCAAATAGTCTTAGGCCTCCCTTGTAATAGGTTCGACAATAATGACTCGTTGTTAACTCGGAAATTTCTCTAATGACTCATTTGAGTTAACTGAGAGTCTTCGTTAACTTAGAGATGTCTCAAATGGCTAAATTGAGCTAAGTGAGACTCGTTATTTACACGAAAATATGTGAGTCTTGAAATGAAAGTGACTAAGTCATACACAACTCGGTCAAGTTGTATTGCAGCATTTGATACATTGAATCATGCTTCTAGGGAAAGACAATGGATTTTTGTGCTTAAAGATATCTACATGAACTAGCATGCCAAAAGAGAACCAAAAAGAATAAAATGAAATAGAATGCACTCCTACCCTCTTTCATAGCATCTACTTGAAGACATACACATGTTATTTTGCAAGTATGAGTTCTTATGAGGGTTCAAAAACATACTGCTATAATAATGATTTATAGTCTGCAATCTAATAATTGAGGAAGAACATAACAATAGAATAATAGTGAAAGGGTCACGATGGGGAGTGGCGTAACAGTGATACCATGTCATAATTGACATGCGGTGTCACCATCAATAAAAACATAATAAATAAGTAGATGAATTTTACATATTATAATAACCACCTTGTCATGTCATTTAATAATCATATAAGTGGGGGTTTATCTTGCCCATTTGTAAGTTTATTATTAAATAATGACATCACGTGTCAATAATAACATGATGTCATCGTTGCATATAATATTTTTTTCTAGATTGAGATTTACTTATCTAATTTGTTGTGGGTGTCGTGTATTTCACTCCTAGTAGCAAATAGATTTTGACTTTGTCTTCAAATTTGAAAAGTAGATGTTGTAGCATTCTACTTCGAGTAGAAGATCAATTAAAAATCAATTAAAAATCATATTGTATTAGGAGACAAAATATTTTTGGCTCGTTTGGTTGTCGTATTACAATAGATGAATTTGATAAAGTAATACCATCTAATACAATACAGATAGATAAAAGACAAGATTAAATATGGTTTTAAAATAATACGTAATTTTATCTAGTGTTTGACAATACACAATATAAGCGTTGGATAGTAGTTATTTAATCCAATCGATTGTTTGGTTAGAGAATTATTTCGTAGTATTAATGTTGAATTAACCAAAATATCTTCAATTAGTATTTGTTACATTGATGACACCTTGATTTTATCACTTGGGGAGTTATAATAGTAACTATATACAATAATACGTTTGAGTTGGATTATTTTTTTTACATATTTTTTTATTTTTACGTTTAAATTGGATTATAATACGACATCTCTTAATGATATTAAAAAACCTCTACAATACAGGTCTATTGTATAATAAATATACAATTAATATATATTTTTAAAATTAATACGGTATCAAATTTATTTACCAATCAAAGTATTAGGCCCGATTAAATAAAAATTAGTACAATTAAATATTTAATTCCCTCGTAATACGTCTACCAAACAAGTTCTTTGAGTTTATAAATATATTAAAAACCACTTGGTTTTTCTAAGTGAATTTTGGCCCCCAGATTTGGGTATTCATGTTTGAATTTATTCTCTCGATTAGAGAATTTTGAGTAATCTCCCTTTGTTGATAGTGAAATTTTGCCGCTGCGGTTGGTTTGTAGACATAAGTTGTGTTATTTATTTTTCTATTTTGTTCCGTTATTATTTGCTTGTGGCTTTTGTTCATAACATGATCCAATTCTAGTTACCCTACAAAAAAAGGACTTGGCTTCCTAAATTTCAATACATGAACAAGATTGAGAAAGAGAATCAGAATTAGTCTGCAAGGGTTGCTATGAAAGCAATACTAAAATATGCACCCCTATAACTAAAAAGCTGAGCAAAAAGCAATTGCACTAATTATGCGAAGTTTGATAGCACTGGACACCCCACCCAATACGTTTTAGCATGTTTGGTGAGAAATTACTATTGTAATTTCGTCGCAATTGTTTATAACCCTATCGCTATACAATAACACTTATTCTTTCTGTATTTTGATCATTTCATTGGGAATTCTTTGTGACTCCTCATATTTGTGCGTAACTAATGTACGAGGCTTTCGTCATTGCGGGATATGAAGAGAGTTAGATGTACGCAGCCTTATACTTGGAAGCGGAGAGATTGTTTTCGCGACTTAAATCTGTGACTTCAAAATCACAATAAAATAATCTTACTGTTGTGTCAAGACCCACCCTCGTACTGCCAGTATAAAACATAGAAATCTGCATTCAATTGTACAAAAAGTTCAAAGGATAATTTCTTATTGCCTTAAGAACTCTCCAATGTGCATTCAAAGTACACAAAAAAAGAACTATAAAGTAATGTTGCCTTAGGTCACCCCACTGTTAATGGTTGTCCTTTTCAACTCTGCTAGTCATAGAACTCAATTCTCCGGTTGCCACGCGCTACCGGAGAATTCATTCCAATGCCTTCAAAGTCCGTTGGAATTCTATAATACCCTTGCGGTCCAGACAGAGGTTGAACACCGTTCATATCGGTGCACGGTGATGCCTTTGAGGTTGTACTTCCCATGTTTGAGCCACCAAGTGCAGTGCTAGCCTTGATGGCTAGTGTGCACAAGTCTTGCAATGAAAGTGGTGTGTGGGATTTTGATGTTGGCATGAGGAAATAGATTTGGCCAAGCTGGAGTTCCTCATCGTCGGGCACGTGAGGCGCACGTGAGCTGACGTACATGATCTCCAAGCTGCAAAGGAAGCAATTTGGATTGTGGAAGAGGATGTGTCCAGCTTTAATGGGCTGCCTGAATTCTTGGAGCCTCCCATCCTTTTGAATCACCTTGGCTGTGGATGGCCAATTCATTCCTCCACCTCCCCTTTCAATGTGAGAAGAAGTACATATACCCATTAAGAGAGAGAGAGAGAGAGAGAGAGAGAGAGATTTTGATTAGGATTTGGTGTTGTGGGATAGTTAGAATAGGTTGGGATATATAGGAGAGGAAAGGACTGGCAATGAAATTGCAAGACTGCCATGCCAAAAAGAAAGGTGTTAGGGAGGCTAAGGCTTGACTACGTAATAGTATCATATATATATATAGTATTGACCAATGTCAAGAATATGGAAAATTTTGTCATTGAGAAGTCTTTTAATAGCATGAATACGTAGTCAGATCAAGTCTTAAAGATATCTTAGTTTAATGAAGGCCTAACGACAACGACTGTAGTTACCAGAGGTGTCAAGCTTTTAGTTTGTGGTAAGGGATCTAATGTAGTCTTGATCAAATAGTTTCATTTCAAATTCGTATAATGCCTTAGTAAATTTGTATTACCCGTAAATTAGAAATGATACTCTTTTTTTTTTCTCTCTCAATCAAATCCATTACATAGAGAGTCCTATGAATTAAATTTACTTGATTCACATCCTAGAAAAACTAAAAAGCTTATTTAATTCTACAATATTTCAAGGTACTAGATGAGAAAATAAAAAAAAATGCAAAAATCTAAACTCGGGCTTATATTTTTACTGGTCGAGTCATTTTCGCATTCGTGTGGTGTTGAAATTGACACCCTAATTCATGGCTTTCTTGACAATGGAAAACATTCCATGTTTATCAACAGAATTAACCAGCAATTGAGAGCAGATTTGCAAAACCAAATGATTCCTGTTTACTTCATCAATTATAGGAGAAAATGTGTACCATGAAGCTTCAAAATAATTTTCCTTTTCAGTAAATATTGGGTGTAACAGTATCATCACATTATCATTGACACGTAACGTTATCATCCAATAATAAACCTACAAATGGATAAGGTGAATCCCACTTGGGTGGTTATTAAATGACATTGTAGGGTAGTTTCTATAATATGTGAGATATACCTGTTTATTTGTTATGTTTTTAAGAAAATACTATGTAATCCAAATGAAAAGAGATCATTGGATGAGTGAGTTTCATCAACGTTTTTTAAATGAGACTCATTGATCCAATGATTCACCTTCATTTGGGATATGCAAATTTGAGTTATATAGAATTATTCATATTTTTATTAAACGATGAAATCACGTGATAATAATGATAGTTATTACTATTACACCTAACATTTTTTTTCTACATTTTGAGGTTGTCCGTATATGTTTGTTTGCTAGTTAAGAGCACATAATGCTTGCCCCCACAAGGAAAGTGGAGATGAACATAACTTTTAAGGATAGGTAGCGTGTCGAAATTGATCTGTAA